ACCTGATGTCCACCAATAGGGGACTGATTAAATATTTGAATATCCATGTAATAGAAATATTTCAGTGTTTAAAACAGGTATGTTCTATACTGATTTGGAACATTCTCCAGGATATGCTAGATGAGAAAAGGGGCAGATCGGTATCTGTAGCATGCAACTGTTAGTGAAGGAAAGCTGGGACAATGGCTAATAACAGTGGGCTGTACATGAATATTTTTGTGTAATCTTAAAGAAGGACATAAAAGAAATTAGTAATAGTGGTTAACTTGTGTGGAGGAAGGGGGTTGAATGGGAGGAAACTGGATGTTTAGGGTACAAGTAGGAGGGAGAGTTTTCACTTAGGATGTAGACATTTTTGAGTCTTGTGCTGTGTGAATTTATTATGCAAAAAATTCTGCGACATAATATAGTGGATAGATGGGTATCACTATGGAGAGTGTTCTGGTATATTAATTGGAAGTGAAGATATAGGTTGGTTGTATGGTGACAAAATTAATCCTAGATTTGGCTTCTTAAAAAGATTGTATATTTTTATCAAAAGAGGGCTCCTTTAGTAAGCCAGGTGCCAATTATGGGCGTTCTTTAGATTTCTAACTTAAAATGTCATTCATATGTATAGTCGTGGAAGCTTAATATTTTCTTATCTGAAAGTAGTATTTTGTAGTTGTTTTTAAAATAGAAGCTACATGAAGAACGTTTGAGTTTTATTAACATCCAGATATAATCCTTTAACTTGATTCAGCAATATGGAGACAGACTCTAGAACCAGAAAGCTTTGTAGTTGTCCAATGGTAGGAAGACTTATAAAAATGAACTGTGAGGCTTGTTGATTTTTATTGGGGTACAATTTTGGTTTTGTTATTTTTATAAAATTGTAGAGAATAATGAACTTGAGAAATGAGGCTATTAAGTTAAAATTGTTTTTGAAATGGAGAGTTAGTTTCCTGTGTTCTTTTAAGCACAGTGTGATGCATTCATAAATTTATTGTAATAATTTTCACCTAATTACACTTGATTTAAAATGTGTAATTCTCTTTCAGAATCAATATAATCTAGCAAGAGCCCAACAATCCTATAATTCCATTGTACAGATACATGAGAAAAATGGTATGTTTAATTCAATAAGTGTTTATTGCCATTTAAGAAGTTTTAGATAATGTATTAATATTTACCGTTTTATTTTTCTGTTTTTGCTTTAGTTTCTTAAAGTACTGTTACCATAGTGAAAAAAACTTGTGCTGCATACAAAAATCTTTATTTATTTATTTTATTTTATTTTATTTGTTTCTTGAGATGGAGTCTTGTTCTGTCACCCTGGCTGGAGTGCAGTGCTGCTATCTTGACTCACTGCCAGCTCCGCTTCCCAGGTTCATTCCATTCTCCTTCCTCTGCCTCCTAAGTAGCTGGGACTACAGGCGCCTGCCACCATGCCTGGCTAATTTTTTTTTTTTTGTATTTTTAGTAGAGATGGGGTGTCACCATGTTAGCCAGGAAGGTCTCGATCTCCTGACTTTGTGATCCACCCGCCTCGGCCTCCCAAAGTGCTGGGGTTACAGGTGTGAGTCATCGCGCCACAAACCTTAACATTGTACTTCAATCAAAATTTTTGTATCCTATACACTTGGCCTAGGTATCTCAGAGTCAGAATCAAGATTTTTTTTTTTTTTTTTTTTTTTAGTAGATTAATGCATGACTCACTTTACTTACTTGAAATCAATGGTTGTAGGAATTGAGTTAAAGGCAACTCTTTATAGATGGAGTTCTTGTTGTTACAACTGGAGTGCAGTGGTTGTTTATAGGTGTGATCATAGTGGACTGCAGCCTCAAGCTCCTGGGCTGATGTGATCCTCCTGCCTCAGTCTCCCCAGTAGCTCGGACTGTAGGCACAAGCCACCATGCCTGTAAAGTATACTTTACTTTGCTAGAAATGTGTCAGTTTGTGACTTAAGATTTGTGTTTTGTGCTTACTTATTTTAATGACAAAGCAAACTTGTCACTTTTTCAGTGATTGCTTACTTACGGCAATAGTATTCAAAACAAAATTTTCAAGCAGAAGAGAGAAACGATAAAATTTGAGGACAAGGCCAGGTTTTCATAATAATAATTTCTAGCACACAAAATTAGTAGATCCAAAGAAACCTGTGTACTACTTTGATACTTTATAGATCTTGGCATATTCATACTGTTCTAAAGTTTCATACTAAACAGTACGTAGTCTAATTTGCCTTTTTATGGAGAGCTTAGGTTTTTGTGGAGCCTGGGAAACAGATTTCTTATTTTCATTTCTTAAACATTACAACTGGCATTTAAAAAATATTTATAGAAAATGCTGTATTTGAGAGTGTGTGGGTATGTGTAAGCTTAGCTGTGATGAAAGAGTAATAGATTCAGAATCGGGAGAGATGACTTCTAGGGATTTTTTTAATCTTAAAAAATTTTTTTTTCTTATTTGTAAAAAATTGACACGTTATACTTATTGTGTACAAAGTTTTGAAGTATACATAATTGTGGAATGACTAAATCTAGCTAATTAACCTAGGCATCACCTTACGTAGTTATCATTTTTATGGTGAGACACTTTACATCCACTCTTAGCATTTTTCAAGAATACAGTATATTGTTAACTGTAGTCACCATGTTGTACAATAGCTCAAGATGGATTCTAGTCTGGCTTGCTACTAACTCTGATTTTAGGCATCGTCATTTAGTTACTGCACCTGCTGCGATGGCTTCCTCGTCATTGGTGAAATGATGTCATGGCTCTGATAACAGTCCAAGTTCCTTATATTCTAAATTGCCAGGAGTTTGTTTGGGGAAATAAGTACTTTCCATGAGGCTTACTTTCAAGTATAGAACTGAAGTGGAATAAAACTTATTCTTTTAGTCTAATATTCCACAGTCATCTTTAGCTAGAGATGCCATTAATACAGAGCTCTTGTGTTGAAAACTCAAGTACAATTTATTCATAGAAAATAACTTTCTGTTGTGAAATAGCAAAATGCAGTGTTACCAATCCAAGTATAAGTTTAATTTTTACAGTAGGCCGGGTGCGGTGGCTCACACCTGTAATCCCAATACTCTGGGAGGCGGAGGTGGATGGATCACCTGAGGTCAGGAGTTGGAGACCAGCCTGACCAACATGGTGAAACCCTGTCTCTACTAAATACAAAACAAAACAAAAAACATGAATGGGACATAGTGGCGCATGCCTCTGTAATCCCAGCTACTTGGGAGGCTGAGGCAGGAGAATTGCTTGATCTGGGAGGTGGAGGTTGCAGTGAGCTGTTTGCGCCATTGCACTCCAGCCTAGGTGACAGAACAAAACTCTGTCTCAAAAAAAAAGAAAAGGAAAAAGAAAAAAAATTGCATAGTAGATTTAAACACCAAAATTATGAAGAGAGGCTGTAGCTAGCCTTATTACATGCCAGTTCTTCTAATTTATTTAAGAATTAAGTATTTTAACTTTTTTTTTTCATTCTATTTCAGGCTGGTACACCCCTCCAAAGGAAGATGGCTAAATATGTTGACTGTTGTGTGTTTGGACTAATGTTGCTTTAAAGAAAATCTTAACCAATATGCAGACACAAGCTTTGAGTGCCCCTATTACAGCAGTACCGAAGACGTTAGTTAATAGATATTTTAGTGGATAATCTGTCATCTGACATCCAGTATGAAGTTACAGCCTTTGCATTTTGCTCATTTTAGATATCTTGGACTGAGCAGTGGGGCCTTTATTGTATTTCTCCTGATAAATACACATACTGGCCACTCCTTATCTCTTTTTCTTGAAAAGTGAACTTTTTAAAGCAGCCAAGTCAGCGTCAGGCTACTGAAGTTGAGGCTTTAGAGTAACTTTCCTATATTGAGCCCATGGGTTACAAGGATTTGCAATATATTCCATTTACAGCCAGTACAAGTTTAATCGATGTTCAATATTGGTTTAGAAAATTTTAAGGCCTTCTAAATCATAATAGCTCTTTCATGTCTAAAACTATTTTATGATATTGCCAAAAGGATAGGAAACCTACTCATTAAATTGTTAAACTTTTTAATGACTATGTGAAGATATGAATTGTTTCCTGAAGATAATACTCTTAATTGAGTTACATTGTTCTTCTTAGGCAAAGCAGTGTAAAACTATATCAGTTAAGGCTTGCAAGTAGTGATTTCCACTGGGGCATCAGAGTCTTGCTGGGCTGAATCTGCTGCTTGTTGGTTCAGTGTTTCTTATGAACAAGAGCCACAGTATAGAGCTTAAAGTTATTTAAAATACTAAGTCATCTTACGTTTCCATTTTATTAACGGGATGTTGCAATCATTTGTAAACTAATAAACTTATAAAGTGATTGGCACAAAGACTCCTTGAGCAAAAGCTGCGCAGTTAAGTAGAAAAATATACTTAATTTGGAGACTCTTACAGTAACTTTTGCCATAGTCAAAACAATGGCTTTTACATTGAAAGATTAATAGAAACTCTACGTATGTTAATTTTTGATGGAACCTGACTCAAATCAAGGTACTCTCCATTTTATTGCCTTACCTGAATCAGTCCTTTTTGGTTGGTAATAGATTTTTTTAATACACCCAAGTTTGATTTAAAAGTAAATTCTAGTTATTAAGCACTTTTAATAAGAAATCCAGAAGCACATTTTTCTGCACAAATCAGTTACAAAGTTCAAAAGTGTTTCTTATGCATTTGCTTTGAGATTCAGTTTTTAACTTTGTAAACCACATCTAAGAGACTTGTCATTTCTACATTATTGTGTGTGTTTAATTTCTTCTGATTCTATTTTGGTTAAGAGAGCAGTAAATTTTCTGGTATTCTTGTTCACTTGGTTACATTTGTATAAAGTTCTCATTGCCAGTTGCTCAGATAACAAGTGACATGGCAGAATTCTTTAAAGCAGTAAAGTTCCTTAAGCCTAAGGCTAAATCTTGAATACATTGTTGAATTCTTTAATATCCTGATGGCAAGCAGATTGATAGCTGCACATTTGGCATGCTTTGTTTTATGGATTTTATTTTTAATTGCAGATTTATTTGGCAATGTACAGTAAATTTTGTAAACTTGCATCAAGTTTATGAATAAACCATTTAAAAATTTGGTTTGTGCTGATCATGGCAAGCAAAAAAAAAGATTACTTTCTCATTTTTCCATCATAAGAAAACTCTGCTTGATGTGTTTGTAAGCTCTATTGAGTTTCTGGAATAAGATACTTAAGGAGGGAAGTGGTGAGGGGAGGCTTGGAAGACAGGCAGATTTAACAATAGAAAGTGAAAGAACCTGGAAATGGTCTGTAGAATAGTCACCTTTTCCTCAGCCTTTTTCCTCTTCCGTTCTCATTATAAATTGAAGTGCTACTTTTTCCTCATGGCTATCCTTAGTTCCCCCAGTGAAAATAATCTGCTACTTCTTAGCGTACCCATTTCTACAAAAAAAAAAAAAAAAAAAGAGTCACAGCTACTCAGGAGGCTTATACCAGTGACAATGTCATACTATCCACCAGTGTGGGAAGGAGGATTTGGGAAATAGTTGTTTTGCATAAAAATATTTCGTTAATGTATAATATGGCCTCCTTACACACAATTGACAGGTTATTTCACATACAAGAAGTCCAGAGGTAGGATAACTCCAGTTGTACTGTACATCTGGGCTTTGCTCTGCTTCCTTGAGATTTTTCTATGTTGGTTTCATCTTTTGGTTGCATGTTATGTGCAGCCACCTTACTTGATTCAGAGGTAGATAAATGCCCCTGTTTTCTAGTGTCTCCTTAGGAGATGAGGAAATCTCTAAAAGCACCATCCCATCAAGTACACGGCCTCTCGCCTTTCCTTGGCTACATCAGGGCCCTGTGCCTACCCCTAAACCAATGGTGGTGAAAAGAATGAAACCATCGTGATTAGTTTGCACAATGGTTCTCAAAGCATGATTTGGGGAACACTGGAGACCCCTGAGACCATTTCAAGAGACTATTTTCATAATACTAAAACATTTTCCATTTTCACTCATTCTTTCATGTGTACAATGGAGTTTTCCAGAGGCTACATGTGATTTTGCAACAGATCAAATTCAGAAGCAAATATGAGAATCTGTCTTCCATTAAGACAGAAATTAAATATTTGCAAAATGTAAAGTGATGCTGCCACTGGTAAACTGTCCTCTCCCTGTTTTATATCAGCCACAAAGAAAGAACGCCCACTTTGAAAGACAATGGGGTGTCGTTCAGTAGCCAGAGAATGGAGAAAGGGAGCTCATGCTCTCAAGGCACCTTCTCCCAGAGGGATAGGAGGCTGGGGAGTTTAAAGAGTTAGCTGAGGGGGCGGGGGAGGTATGAAGGGCATACACAGGCTGGAGTTCCAGACAAGCAGGCATAGTCCCTGAACGTGCTGCTTCATACATCCATGTTCATGAGATGCCAGTGAGCTTGCTTTTTAGGGAAGAGGATTTTAGCATTATGTTAATGATCTAAAGGTTACCGGAGGGTGCCTCTTTATCTTCCTCTGGTATTCCACAAGGGGTCAGGAAGCTCTGGTGACATCTGGGCCATCTGGATTCCTTAAGCAGCTGCGCCTATAAATAGACTAAGGAAAAAAATTGGCTGGGCTTGTTGGCTCATACCTGTAATCTCAACGCTTTAGGAGGCGGAGGCAGAGGCAGAGGGATGTCTTGAGGCCAGGAGTTTGAGACCAGCCTGGGCAACATAGACCCTGGGTCTACAAAAAAAAAAAAAAAAGAGTCACAGCTACTCAGGAGGCTTATACCAGTGACAATGTCATACTATCCACCAGTGTGGGAAGGAGGATTTGGGAAATAGTTGTTTTCCATAAAAATATTTCGTTAATGTATAATATCTGTTTTTTAAAAAGATGTTCTAATTTTTAATATGGTAAATATTGATAGTCATAACACACATAAACTATTGGTCGTGTCAATATTTTAGGGTGTAAAGGGTCCTGAGGCCATAATGAGAACTTCTGATTTAGACCAAGTTTCTGCCCAAGATCTGGCGATCAAATCAGGGCTCCCTTAGGAAGGAATTGGCGGGAGGAATGGACGAACCTGTGTCTGCTGTGCTTCCATTTTTTGGTGGTTCTCAGTTTGAGCATGCATCAGAATCGCCATAAAGTTTGTTAAAACGTAGATTGCTGGGCCTCATCCCCAGTGTCTGATTTAGGAGGTCTGGGGTAAGGACGGGAAATGTGCTAAAACTTAGTAGTTTCCAGGTGAATCTGATGTTCCTGGCGGGGAACTGGTGCACAACTTCGGGCGTGCTTCACAGCAGTAATCTCACTCAGCTACCTTAGAATGGCAGGTGCTATTTTTGCTATTTTACTCATTCGAAACTTTAAACCTGAATATTACAACGAGTTAACTAAGTTTACCAAGGAATAAAGGCAGTGATTTTTCACACACTAGGACAATTTTTTAAAAGCAAACACTGTCCGTTCAAAAATTGAGCTTATGCTATTTAAACAGGCATTGGAACTATGAAGAGCAATAAGTACTACCTAGTCTCTGCAAGGAATTTGTGAAATTAGAGAACGATGTAAACTCAGAAATATGGCGGTGCCAGGGCAGTGAGAAGCACACAGGATTTTCACTGCAGGAGGCCTCCTGGAAAGTTGCCAGGCGCGGTGGCTCATGCCTGTAATTCCAGCACCTTTGGAGGCCCAGGCGGGAGTATCGCTTGAGCCCTGGAGTTTGAGACCAGCCTGGAGAGCATAGGGAAACCTGTCACTACAAAAAACACAAAAATTAGCTGGGCGTGGTGGCGGGAGCTTGTAGTTCAAGCTATGAGGGAGGCTGAGGCGGGAGGATCGCTTGAGCCTGGGAGGTAGAAGCTGCAGTGAGCAGAGGCCGCGCCACTCCACTCCTGCCTGCCCACAGCATTAGACCCAATCTCAAAAATGAAAAAACAGTTCCGAGCGTATTATGGAACGGATGGCTTCAACCTCGGTGTGCGGACTCCAGGCCAGGATATTCACCGGCGTTGCCACGCCCACCGTCCCCGTCCGGCCGGAAGTGGCGCGGGCGCCTGCTCAGTGCGCGCCGGCCAGGCAACTCTGTGCTGGCGTAATCGGGTTCCTCCGGGCCGCCGTAGGACTGGTTCCGGCGGGCTAGTGAGGAATGGAGCTGGTGGGCAGCAGCGGCGAGCGCTGCGGCTCCTCCTCCGTCGACCCACGGAGCACCTTCGTGTTGAGTAACCTGGCGGAGGTGGTGGAGCGTGTGCTCACCTTCCTGCCCGCCAAGGCGTTGCTGCGGGTGGCCTGGTGAGAGGAGGCGGAGGCGGGAAGCTTGCCTTGTGACACGCCGTGGGCATGCCCCAGGCTGGCGGGGTGGGGAGAGACCGTGGGGACCCAGGGCTCTCCCCAGCTCCCTCGCCCTACCTGAGGTTACCCGCTACCCGCGAGGTATCTCCCAGCCGTGGTGCCCCGGGGGACTTCGCTGAGGGGCGAAGTTCCCCTTAAGGTTTTCTCCACTTCTGGCTCTCCTTCCGAACCAGCGCCCTGACCGACACCTACCTCCCCCGGGGACTTTGGATCCCGCAGGGATCTCCTGCTGCTCCAGTAGGTGGGGGTTTGTGAGCTGTGGGAGAGACGAAAATGAACGTCCGTTTGCAATGCTTTGTGCGTTTGCGTCCCCAGCGTGTGCCGCTTATGGAGGGAGTGTGTGCGCAGAGTGTTGCGGACCCATCGGAGCGTAACCTGGATCTCCGCAGGCCTGGCCGAGGCCGGCCACCTGGAGAGGCATTGCTTGGTTCGCGTAGTAGCAGAGGAGCTTGAGGCAAGTAGCAAGGGGTGTCATGCACAGTCATTTGCAGGTTGGTGGTTCAGTCTTTTGCGAACTATTTTTTTTTTTTTAATCCCAGTTTTGTTAATTCAAGGAACATCTTCTTGTGCCGGGAAAAGATTTTGTAAGCATCAGTTTTAGTGACTACACGGTAAGGATGTGTCATGATTTATTTGACCGTTCATCAAATGTTGAGCCTTTTAAGTATGCACATTTTCACTATTAACAACAACGCTGTGCAGAACCTTCCCTTCACCTGCTTCCCTTGAAGCAAGTTTTTGTTGTCTTTTACCGGGAAGACAACTGGGTGTGTCTTGCTCAGTGTAGCACGCCTAGAAAGCCAAGAACCAAAACTTAAAGCCAAATATTTCAACTTTCGATCCTGTACTCTTTTGCTTCTCTGGCCCCCAACTTCAAAAGGGGAGCCAACACCTGGAGAGATGAAGACTCGGACTGTGGAGTTGGAGGGACTGCAGGGTGTACCATCTCTCTGGGGAGTGGAAGGGAGCCCTTTGACAGTGAAGTGCCAACCTGCTGCTCTGTCACTCTGTTTACTTTAGTACGGCTTACAGACATAACTACGGTGCAGCTGTCACAATCAGGAAATTATCACTGATACATTTCTACCATTTTGTCCTCAGACTCGGTTCAGATTTTGCCAGTTGTCCCAGTAAGGTTCTTCATGGCAAAAAGATCTGTTCCCAATTGTAAGTTGCTCTAAGTAAGTCATGTTTCTTTAATCTCCTTTGATCTGGAACAGTTTCACAAGCTTTGCTTGATTTTTCCAAATCTTGACACCTAGGAAAATTGCAGGCTATTTTGTAGAACATCCATCAATTGTGTCTTTGGCAGGAAATAATCACAGAAGTGATGCTGTGCTCTTTTCACGGCATCCTTAGGTGGCATGTGATTTCCATTGGTCTCGTTATTGGTGGTATTACCTTTGATTACTCAATTAAGGTGGTGCTTGCCAAGTGTCTTCACTAAAATCACTGTTCTGTAATGATTGTTTTGCGAAGAGATCATTTGAAACTATGTAAATATCGTGTTTCAGTGCGTTTATTTATTTGTATCTGTACACTCTCGGAGTCTTATTTAATTCAGTGGGCTATAATCTGTTACTGTATTTTGGTGCTCAAATTACGCCCCCCCGCCCCCCAGTTTGGCTAGTGGGAGCTCCTTCAGGCTGGCCTCAGTGTCTTTTTAGAGATGACTGCATTATCTTTGAGCACTTTTCTTTTTTCTGGCACAAGATGTTCTAAGCTTGTCTTGGGTTTTACCTGCTTTGGTCCTGGAATTGGTCATTAAGCCCTGGCTCCTTTTGATGGAGTGTGGTATTTAGAAATCAAGGTCTAGACTCTTTAAGTGTACTCCTTGCCATTGAGGGATTTGCTGCTCCAAAGCCCAGTCATTAGACAGAGCCAAGGAGTGTATGTATGTATATACATGCATGTGTATGTATATACATCAACATACACATATACACACGTTTACAACTATATGTATGTGGAAACTCATGAGTTCACACAGGTGCATCCTTTTCTAATCAAGTGCAGGATGCTTTCTAGTTTTGTCTCTGCTCATATTTGTACCTCCCTTTTGGGCAAAGGGAAACTGGTTCTTAATGTATTTAGATATTACCTCAATGCCCCATATGTAACCACTCTTCTGTTTCCCCCTTCCTTGGGTGGTCTTTCTCCTTACCTTGTCTGGGCTCTGGAACTCTCATCCCAGGGAGCTGGCCAGTATCCAAAGGCAGGCTTGTAGAAAACTTTTCTTCTCTGGTGCTTTGTCCCAACTCCTGCCATTTTTCCAGAAGTTTATCATTTGGAAAAATTCAAAATGCAAGCAGGCTTTTTTCCTCAGAAGTGTTCTCTGGAACATCGTTTATAATAAGGGATACTAAAAACCGAATATTAATTTAATAAATAAAGCTATTAAATTATGAACTGTAAGTGTATTAATGACAAGAGCAAATGTTGATTTTAAAAGTGAAAACATTATAAAATTATATATTTAGTATCATCTGAATTATTAAAGACCAAAAGGGAGAGTAGAAAAGAAAGCCAAAATAGCTTTTTTTTTCTATTTAATGTTTTTAAAAAGTTTTCTCTCTGTGGTCATCGTTTTCAAATTTTTACCACAACAGGCATTATTTTTCTATAGCTTTAAGAGTTTATACATTGTGGTGGCTGTTAATAGCCAGACAGACTAAGGTATGAATTGTAGCTTTGGCATATACCAGTGGTGTGACTTTGAAAAAGCTACTTAACTTCTCTGAGCCTCAGGTGCTATTTCCATAAAATAAAAAGAAAAATAATAATTTTCCTGTGCCCTTATAGAGTTGTAAGGATTAAATAATGAAAAGGTAATGCATATAACACATTACTTATAGTACCAGGAGCGTAAGTTCTCAATAGATGTCTGTTAAATATTCTTTTATTAGTATCATTATTAAAGTTCGCATAGTTATAGTAATGCCCTTAGAGGAGTTCCTCCATTATAGTAAACTGCTGGTGAGACAAAAACATGAAAACTCTATCCAAATCATACGTGCTGTTTATTTGTGTTTTCCAAGTTATCTAGTGGACATGGGCACTTTTATAGCTATAAAGAAAGTTGATTTAACTTTTCTCTTAGAAATATTTTAAAGTCCGCCAGGCACGGCAGCTCATGCCTATAATCCCAGCACTTTGGAAAGCCGAGGCAGGCAAATCGCTTGAGGTCAGGAGTTAGAGAACAGCCTGGCCAACATGGTGAAACCCCTGTCTCCACTAAAAATATTAATATAAATATTTAAAAATATTAAATACTTAAAAATATCAAATATATAAATAAAAATATTAAAGTACAAAAATTGGCTGGGCGTGTTGGTGCAAACCTGTAATCGCAGCTATTCAGGTAGCTGAGGTACCAGAATCGCTTGAACTGGGGAGATGGAGTTTGCGTGAGCCCAGATTGCACCACTCCAGCCTGGGTGAGACTCTGTCTCAAAAAAAAAAAAAAAGAAAAAAGAAAAATATTTTAAAGTCTGCCAAAAGCTTTATAAAACAACTTGCCATTTGTAACTTCTTTGAACAGTGGAATGTGGTGCTAGCTGTCTTAACTGTGCTCTGAGAACATTTCATGTTGAGACTTGTTATGTCACTTCTTCTAGTGTGAATTAGGACGGAAAATTCAGCAGTTGCTTTTCATTGGGTGCCAGGAGAGGGAGATTCATAAAATCTCAGGACCAGACTTTTAATCCTTGTTCAGGAGTAAGAAACCTGAGGCCTAAAAGCTTGATGAGGGTTATTCTGCTGGTTTGTGGCAGAGTTGCCACTAAGACCTAAATCTGTTTTTTGTTTTGTTTTGTTTTTGAGACAGAGTCTCGCCTGTTGTCCAGGCTGGAGTGCAGTGGCCTGATCTCGGCTCAGTGCAGCCTCCACCTTCTGAGTTCAAGTGATTGTCCTGCCTTAGCCTTCTGAGTAGCTGGGACTACAGGTGCACGCCACCGCACCCAGTTAATTTTTGTATTTTAGTAGAGATGGGGTTTCACCCTGTTGGCCAGACTGGTCTCACCCTGGCCTCAGGTGATCCACCCACCGTGGCCTCCCAAAGTGCTGAGATTACAGGCGTAAGCCACGGTGCCTGGCCCCTAAATCTCTTTGAGTTCTCTCTTCTTTACTCACTATACCAGGCATCACAGATTCAGATGACTTGAAGGTCAGGCAGTTGGGTGAAGAGGGTCAGGTAGCTCAACAGAGTGGTAGCACCATGGCAGACTGGAAAGGCTTGCCTCCATTTAGCCTTAGTTAAAAGGCACGTAGTCTAAGTGTTGCCAGAATGTCCAGTTTTTAAAAAGAATCTGGAAATCCGCATTTTATCTAAAAATTCGGTGGAATTTTGAACATTGGCATTCAGTTTACATTTTCTGAAAATGCTGTGTGGAGCAAGGAAACTATATCTGTAGGTCTTGGGCAGCCATGGGCCCCACAGGCCATCATGCTATCTGTCTCTTTTATTAGTTTATCTATGTAGAATGTATTCTGAAACATCTTGGCATTCCCCCAAATTATAATGGACCAACTTTTTTTTTTTCCCCACTTAACCAATAGTGAGGCTTTGCTATATGCTAAGTACCTCATGGACCAACTTTTTTTTTTTTTTTTTTTCCATTTAACCAATAATGAGGCCTTGCTATATCCTAAGTACTTCATTTTATTCTGGTAGTAAAAAATATTTGAAAATAGCTAGCTTAGAAAAATATATTCATCATTTTCATTTAATTCAGCTGCTTTGCCACTTGTCTTTAATTGGAAAGTTTAGCTGAAAACAAGTGAGTCTGAATAAGCCCAGCTCATAGGGGAGATAGGGCACAAATAAGATTAACTAGGGGTAAGGGATGTTGCATCTGAGGTCCAGAGTACTGAGGGAGTTTAGGAAAAGGTTTTGGAGAGGAGGTGGCACTTAAAGTGTCTCTAGAGGGAAACAGTCTTAAGTTCTATAGGAACAGAGCAATAGAACACATGGGGAAGTGGGTGTGTCTGGATAATATTAATAGTAAGCTAAGGGGCCCTGAAGGATGCCTTGTTGTCAAGGCTGGAAATGGAGGCTTGGAGTATTTGATTTAATGAGCAGTGAAAAGAGGAGTGATTCCCCATTACTGAGATTTTTCTGATACTGTAATGCCTGTTCATATAAAGCAAGTGTGTCTTTTGCTGGTACTTGATGTTTTTGTTCTAAGAGCTTCAGTTATTAAGAAAATGAACTTCTTGAGGGCTGGAATGAAGAAATAGGTGTTTAGTAAATGAACTGAAAATGAAAGAGCACGAGTGAAAAGTAAATGAGAAGTAGATTGACTCAGAATGCCAACATTGACCTGAAAGAAGGTAGGGCACCAGCAGTTTGGATGGGGTGATACTTTTTTTTTTTTAATTTAAGTTCTGGGATACATGTGCAGAACGTGCAGGTTTGTTACATAGGTATACGCGTGCCATGGTGGTTTGCTGCACCCATCAACCTGTCATCTACATTAGGTATTTCTCCTAATGCTATCCCTCCCATAACCCCCCACTCCCCGACAGGCCCTGATGTGTGATGTTCCCCTCCCTGTGTCCACATGTTCTCATTGTTCAACTCCCACTTATGAATGAGAACATGCGGCATTTGGTTTTCTGTTCCTATGTTAGTTTGCTGAGAATGATGGTTTCCAGCTTCATTCATATCCCTGCAAAGGATGTGAACTCATCCTTTTTTATGGCTGCATAGTATTCCATGGTGCATATGTGCCACGTTTTCTTCATCCAGTCTATCATTGATGGGCATTTGGGTTGGTTTCAAGTCTTTGCTGTTGTGAACAGTGCTGCAGTAAACATGCATATGCACATGTCTTTATAGTAGAATGATTTATAATCCTTTGGGTATATACCCAGTAATGGGATTGCTGGGTCAAATGGTATTTCTCTTTCTAGATCCTTGAGGAATCATCACAGTGTCTTCCACAGTGGTTGAACTAATTTACACTGCCACCAGCTGTGTAAAAGTGTTCCTATTTCTCCACATCCTCTCCAGCATCTGTTGTTTCCTGACTTTTTAATGATCGCCACCCTAACTGGTGTGAGATGGTATCTCATTTTAGTTTTGATTTGCATTTCCCTAATGACCAGTGATGATGAGCCTTTTTTCATATGTTTGTTGGCTGCATAAATATCTTCTTTTGAGAAGTGTGTGTTCATATACCTTGCCCACTTTTTGATGGTGTTGTTTTTTTCTTGTAAATTTGTTTAAGTTCCTTGTAGATTCTGGATATTAGCCCTTTGTCAGATGGATAGATTGCAAAAATTTTCTCCCATTCTGTAGGTTGCTTGTTCACTCTGATGATAGTTTCTTTGGCTGTGTAGAAGCTCTTTAGTTTAATTAGATCCCATTTCTCAAATTTGGCTTTTGTTGCCATTGCTTTTGGTGTTTTAGTCATGAAGTCTTTGCCCATGCTTGTGTCCTGAATGGTATTGCCTAGATTTTCTTCTAGGGATTTTATGGTTTTAGGTCTTACACTTAAGTCTTTAATCCATCTTGAGTTAATTTTTGTATAAGGTGTAACGAAGGGGTCCAGTTTTAGTTTTCTGCATATGGCTAGCCAGTTTTCCCAACACCATTTATTAAATAGTTAATCCTTTTCCTGTTGCTTGTTTTTGTCAGGTTTGTCAGATATCAGATGGTTGTAAATGTGTGGTGTTATTTCTGAGGCCTCTATTCTGTTCCATTGGTCTGTATATCTGTTTTGGTACCAGTACCATGCTGTTTTGGTTACTGTAGTCTTATAGTATAGTTTGAAGTCAGGTAGTATGATGCCTTCAGCTTTGTTCTTTTTGGTTAGGATTGTCCTGGCTATACGGGCTCTTTATTGATTCCATATGAAATTTAAAGTAGTTTTTTCTAATTCTGTGAAGAAAGTCAATGGTAGCTTGATGGGGATAGCATTGAATCTCTAAATTATTTTGGGCAGTATGGCCATTTTCATAATATTGATTCTTTCTATCCACGAGCATGGGATGTTTTTCCATTTGTTTGTGTCTTCTCTTACTTCCTTGAGCAGTGGTTTGTAGTTCTCCTTGAAGAGGTCCTTCACATTCCTTGTAAGTTGTATTCCTAGGTATTTTATTCTCTTTGTAGCAGTTGTGAATGTGAGTTCACTCATGATTTGGCTGTCTGTTATTCGTGTGTAGGAATGCTTGTGATTTTTGCACATTGATTTTGTATCCTGAGACTTTGTTGAAGTTGCTTATCAGCTTAAGGAGATTTTGGACTGAGATGACTGGGTTTTCTAAATATACAGTCATGTCATATGCAGACAGAGACAATTTGACTTCCTCTCTTCCTATATGAATACCCTTTATTTCTTTCTCTTGCTTGATTGCCCTGGCCAGAACTTCCAATACTCTGTTGAATACGAGTGGTGAGAGAGGGCATCCTCGTCTTCTGCGGGTTTTCAAAGGGAATGCTTCCAGCTTTTGACCATCCAGTATGATATTGCCTGTGGGTTTGTCATAAATAGCTCTTACTATTTTGAGATACGTTCCATCAATACCTAGTTTATTGAGAGTTTTTAGCATGAAGTGGTGTTGAATTTTATCAGAGGCCTTTTGTGCATCTGTTGAGATAATCATGGTTTTTGTCATCGGTTCTGTTTATGTTATGGATTACGTGTATTGATTTGCATATGTTGAACCAGCCTTGCATCCCAGGGATGAAGCTGACTTGATCGTGGTGGATAAGCTTTTTGATGTGCTGCTTGATTCGGTTTGCCAGTATTTTACGGAGGATTTTCACATCGATATTCATCAGGGATATTGGCCTGAAATTTTCTTTTTTTGTTGTGTTTCTGCCAGGTTTTGGTATCAGGATGATGCTGGCCTCAAAAAATGAGTTAGGGAGGCGTCCCTCTTTTTCCATTGTTTGGAATAGTTTCAGAAGGAATGGTATCAGTTCCTCTTCGTACCTTTGATAGAATTTGGCTGTGAATTCGTCTGGTCCTGGGCTTTTTTTGCTTGGTAGGCTATTACTGCCTTAATTTCAGAACTTGTTATTGGTCTATTCAGAGATTCGACTTCTTCCTGATTTAGTCTTGGGAGAGGGTATGTGTCCAGGAATTTATCCATTTCTTCTAGATTTTCTAGTTTACTTGCATATAGGTGTTTATAGTATTCTCTGATGACAGTTTGTATTTCTGTGGGATCAGTGGTGATATCCCCTTTATCATTTTTTATTGTGTGTATTTGATTCTTCTCTCTTTATTAGTCTGGCTAGCGGTCTGTCTATTTTGTTAGTCTTTTCAGGAAACCAGCTCCTGGATTCATTGAGTTTTTGAAGGATTTTTCATGTTTCTATCTCCTTCAGTTCTGCTCTGATCTTAGTTGTTTCTTGCCTTCTGCTAGCTTTTGAATTTGTTTGCTCTTGCTTCTTTAGTTCTTTTAATTATGATGTTAGGTTGTTGATTTTAGATCTTTCCCGCTTTCTCCTGTGGGCATTTAGTGCTATAAATTTCCCTCTAAACACTGCTTTAGCTGTGTCCCAGAGATTATGGTACATTGTGTCTTTGTTCTCATTGGTTTCAAAGAACATCTTTATCTCTGCCTTCATTTTGTTATTTGGCCAGTAGTCATTCAGGAGCAGGTTGTTCAGTTTCCATGTAATTGTGCAGTTTTGAGTGAGTTTTTTAATCCTGAGTTCTAATTTCATTGCACTGTGGACTGGGTGATACTTTAAGGGACTATGCAGAAGCACTCATGGATTCATGGGATCCAATCCAATTTTTTTTTTTTTTTTTTGCAGAATGTTCGCATCTTACCACATACAGTTCTTTACATGGCTGATTCAGAAACTTTCATTAGTCTGGAAGAGTGTCGTGGCCATAAGAGAGGTAAATATCAAAAGAAAAGCTTTTGTTTCTGTTTTTTTTCATCATGTGCCTTCTGTTTGGAGTTCAATATTGTACTTGTCCTGAGACTTAATCGACTTTCTGAGGCTGTGGGACTGCCACCTGTAGTATGCATGAATGTATCTATCTTTGAACCTTGAGGAACCCTTTCTGCTTCAGATTGATTTCTAAACCTTGTAGTGTAATTGAAACAAATTCATTAGAAAGGTGTTTTTCTCAATTTGAGATGCTTTAATTCTCCAGGCACTTTTTATTATTAAAACAGGTTGTATGACTTTGGCTATTCAGGCCTTTTACTATATTGGAACATGAGGTCCCATTTACCAAAGTTATATAGAGAAATGGTGCATTTTTGGCTGGCTGAGGGAAAAGGCAGAATAGGTATTCAAGATGGGCATACATAGGCCCCAAGTTAGACTTAGATAATGGATTCTTATTGTCTAATTTGAATCCAGTTAACTGTTGATGCAAATAGTAGTTATACTGCAATATCAGCTGAACAGAAAGGTACAGTAGCAAGTCTAAAATTCAGCTGTTACTGCTAAATTTGACATCACTGGGGCAAAAGCATTATATGAACAGAGAGGAAAGGCAGACTAGTGGTGCAAAAGATCAGATTTAGAATTTAAAAGCCAGGACCAAAACAGGTAAAGTGTTTGTTTTAATCAATGCTTTTAGACCTTTATTTAGAGCATTCTCGTGTCAGGTGACCTAAATATTTCCAGTATTTGCTTTTTTACTTTTTCATTGTCAGATTTGACTTTAAATGGATGATATTTAATCATTTTGCTACTGTATTTTTACAGCAAGGAAAAGAACTAGTATGGAAACAGCACTTGCCCTTGAGAAGCTATTCCCCAAACAATGCCAGGTCCTTGGGATTGTGACCCCAGGAATTGTAGGTGAGAAAAATTAGCAACTTAATGATTTCCTCCTTGCATTAATGTGGGGTCCTTTGGATTGGTGAATTATTTTTAGCTTGGAACCACATTTCTGTTTCTGGACATCTAAAATACAATAAAGTCTGTCATATTTACCATGGCTTTATATTTGCCTTATATTAATGTTTATTAAGTTATTGTGGTATTTCTCATCTCAAGGCTACCTGTATAATGCATATCCAGTAGTCATTCATAAGAGGGGAAAGATCTCATTCTGCCTCCCTCCAAATTAGGAAGTATTTGTGGGCATTTTCAGAGTTTTGTCAGTTCAAGCAGTATTGTTTCTGGTGGGTAGGGGTGAGATGGGACTGGGATTAGGAGCAAAGATGGGCCTTGTTAGGAAATTTCTGTTTCTCTGCTTTGGTACCACTCTTTGACATTTATAGCCTGAGGCTGTGCCCCTTTCCGTGCTTGATTGCTGCTGGTGAATTTTTGCTGATTTTTATTATTTTTATTATTTTTTATTCTTTTCTGTAGTTAATTGGGGGAGGAGAGATTCTTTTGAGGCAGTAATGGTGCAGTGGTTAGATACCTGGATTGGAATGCCAGCTGTACTGCTTAGTATCGTATGACTTTGAGCAAGTTACCTAACTTCACGGGGCTTCACTATCCTCATCAAGGAAGTAGGGATGATGACAATAGTACCTTCCTTGGAGGGTTGTGAGAATTAAATGAGTTGACACTTGTAAAGCATAGAGATAACACAGAAAGCAGTAAGTAAATGTTAGCTGTCATGTATTTATTGTTATTTTTTTTTTAGATGGAGTTTTACTCTTGTCGCCCAGTCTGGAGTGCAATGGCGTAATCTCCACTCACTGCAACCTCTGCCCCTTAGATTCAAGTGATTCTCCTGCCTCAGCCTCCCAAGTAGCTGGGATCACAGGCGCCCACCACCACCACGCCTGGCTATTTTTTGTATTTTTAGTAGAAACCGGGTTTCACCATGTTGGCCAGGCTAGTCTCAAACTCTTAACCTCAGGTGATCCACCACCTCAGCCTCCCAAAGTGCTGGGATTACAGGTGTGAGCCACCACACCTGGCCACTGTTACGTTTTTTAGTTCTAACTCAGTAGTACTGTACTGAGAATTGTCATTTTTAATCTTCACTGAAAGAGTTTTGATCTGAATTTGAGTCTTGTACCGTGGGGGTAAGAAGAATTTCATGTGTTTACAAATGAATATTATTTGTTCAGTTGCTCTAGCTTTGGTTTCTAAAGGGCTTAACATTTTTTTTAAAAAAAGAACTTATTTCTTTTTGGCTGGGCATGGTAGCTCATTCCTGTAATCCCAGCACTTTAGGAGGCCGAGGCAGGCGGATCACTTGAAGTCAGGAGTTGGAGACCAGCCTGGCCAACATGGCAAAACCCCATCTCTACTAAAAAATGTAAAAATTGACCAGGCACGGTGGCTCACATCTGTAGTCACAGCACTTTGGGAGGCCAAGTTGGGTGGATCATGAGATCAGGAGTTCAAGACCAGCCTGGCCAACATGGTGAAACCCCATCTCTACTAAAAATACAAAAATTAGCCGGGCATGGTGGCAGGCACCTGTAATCCCAGCTGCTCAGGAAGCTGAAGCGGGAGAATTGCTTGAGCCCAGGAGGCAGAGGTTGCAGTGAGCCAAGATCATGCCATTGCAGTCCAGCCTGGGTGATAGAGCAAGACTCTGTCTCAAAAAAAAAAAGAAGGTAAATTAGCTGGGCATGGTTGGCTCATGCCTGTAATTCGAGCTACTTGGGAGGCTGAGGCAGGAGAATTGTTGGAAACCGAGAGGCAGAGTTTGCACCACTTCACTCCAGCCTGGGTGACAGAGTGAGACTCTGTCTCCAAAAAAAAAAAAAAGTTGTTTTTTTTATGCTAATAATATTTATTTTTAGAAGAAGAAAAATTAGAAGATTCAGGTAAGCAAAAGCAAAACAATTAAGCACCTTTAAGCACCACAGAGTTAACCACTCTTATGATGTTAACCTTTATTTATATATGTATGTAAATATAAAAAACCAGAATAAAATTTTCTGTAGACTTGTAACCTACTGTGTTAGTCTGCTAGGGCTACCATAACCAAATACCACAGACTGGGTGGCTTAAACAACAGAAGCTTATTTTCTCACAGTTTGGGAGGCTAGATGTCCAAGATTGGGGATGGCCTTTCTGAAGCTTGCTTACAGCTGCTTTCTCACTGTGTTCTCATGTGGCCTTTTCTTTGTACATAAGCATGCCTGGTGTCTCTTCCTCTTTTGGATTAGGGCCCTACCCTTATGACCTCATTTAATTTTTTTTTTTTTTTTTTGAGACGGAGTCTCGCTCTGTGGCCCAGGCTGGAGTGCAGTGGCCGGATCTCAGCTCACTGCAAGCTCCGCCTCCTGGGTTTACGCCATTCTCCTGCCTCAGCCTCCTGAGTAGCTGGGACTACAGGTGCCCGCCACCTCGCCCGGCTAGTTTTTTGTATTTTTTAGTAGAGATGGGGTTTCACCATGTTAGCCAGGATGGTCTCGATCTCCTGACCTCGTGATCCGCCCGTCTCGGCCTCCCAAAGTGCTGGGATTACAGGCTTGAGCCACCGCGCCTGGCCTACCTCATTTAATCTTAACTATCTCTTTAAAGGCCTTATCTCCAAATATAGTCACATGGGGGGTTAGGGCTTCAACATGAATTTGGGGTAGGCAGTAGGGAGGGGGATGACACAGTTCAATCTGTAATATCTACCTGTAAAATTCAGAGTATATTACAAACATATTTCTATGTCTATAAATATACATTTGTCATCATTTTAATGGCTATATTCTATGATACCAGTGTAACTTTTAATCTCAATACCAGTGTGGGACATTCAGGTTTTTTCTGTTTATTTCCTATTTGAAATTATGTGATAAAATACTTGGGTATATATATACTTTATATAATTGTCAAATATTTTTAGGGTAAACTTTTAAAAATTGGAATTGCTGTGAAAGTGTATTTACTACTCCCCCAACTTTTTATTTTGAAAAGTATGGAAAAGTTGAAAGAATAATAGAATAGCATGATAAATACCCATATACCCTTTATCTAGTTTAGCAGTTGAAAAAATTTTGCAACATTTGTGTTTTCTCACTTTGCTTATACAAAATTTCTTTCTGAACCATTTGAAAGTTAAATTGCAAACATCATGACACTACACCCTAAAACTGTCAAAGCTGAAAAACTTTTACTCAGATAGTGGCTTGTTAGCTTGATGATTATCTTAGTGACCTAGACTGTGGTTATCTAGTTTTTACTGAATGTATTGATGAAACTGTTTAACTTTTTCTCTAGTGACTCCAATGGGATCAGGTAGCAATCGACCTCAGGAAATAGAAATTGGAGAATCTGGTTTTGCTTTATTATTCCCTCAAATTGAAGGAATAAAAATACAACCCTTTCATTTTATTAAGGATCCAAAGAATTTAACATTAGAAAGACATCAGCTCACTGAAGTAGGTAAGTTACTTTTATTTATCATTAACTGCTCATTTTATTGATTAATTTTGATTTCTTTGTAATTCTGGCTGGTTGGTGGATATTAGGTTCCTTTGGGAGAATCTGAATTAAGTACAACTGTTACTGGAGCTGTGGCTAATTCAAACAGATGATTCACAGAGGCCAGTATGATACACGTTTGGTAGAATTGATTTACTTTTTAAATTATTTTATTTGCATTAAAGCCCAAGAGACCCAGAGATGAAACTTTTTTCATAAATACTCTGTTGATGATAAACTTGTTTGTATTTAATTCTGAATTTTAAGGAATTCTTGCTCTAATAGTTTATTTCATTTTGCTCTATTTGTATTTTGTTAACCTATTTTTTTTTTAGTCTAGTAACAAGCGTTTTAGAAGTTTTTAGAAGATGCAGGTTAGTTCTTTGTGAACTAATTAGAAAGATGGGAACAACTAAAGTGACCCTGATGAGTGTTAGGAAAGGTATGAGTTAAGGCAAGTCTATCAAGCAAGGGGTATGCTGGGAAACATCCCACAGGTAGTGTGGATGGAGCCCTGAAGTGAATTTGAAGAGGTAAAGGGTTGGCTTAATGTCTAAGCTTAGATGGGAAAGCTTAACTTAATATAACCAACAACTAACAAGTTACTCAAGGAAAGCAGCATTAAAAAGCCTTTTATCTATATCTGCAAATGAATTGATTGAATTCACTTAATTCATTAAAATAGCTGTTGGCATAAAAGCTATTCAGTGGTAACACCTCATTTTTGCATAGATCAGCCAGCCTGTAGAGATAAACCTCTGTTATTTGAAATGGGACTTAAACCAGGAGGAGTAAAAAATTGTGTAGCACCAAAGGTAAAATTTGTTTTACTGATGAGGAAAAAAGGGGGTATACACATTGAGACTAGTTTTTACAACTATCCCTGACAATGTGAAAAAACAAAACAAAACTTGCAAGTCGGTGAATGGGAGGGGAAGCACAGAACAAGAGGCATTAGTAGCAAAGACTAGCAGCTGGGAGCCTCTTAATAATGTGGAAGAGGGTGGTCAGGTCAAGGTAGGTGATGGAAAGTCTCAACAGCCAGCTCTGGTGTGACACAGGGTAGTGTAGCTATGAAGAATGCTGACTTAGAAATGAAATCAGTATGTTGAAGAGATATCTGCACTCCCATGTTTATTGCAGCACTGTTCACAGTAGCTGGGATATGGAATTAACCTAAGTGTCCATTAGCTGATGAGTAGATAAAGAAAATGTGGTATATATACATAATGAAATGCTCTTCAGCCATAAAGAAGGACATCCTGTCATTTGCATCAGCATGGATGAACCTGGAGGATGTTAAGTGAAATAAAGCCAGGCCCAGAAACTCCAGTAGTACATGATCTCACTCATGTGTGGAATCTGAAAATGTTGCTCTCATAGAAATATAGAGTTGAATGGCAGTCACCAGGGTCTGGGGTGGTTGGGAGGGGGTTTGGGGAGATGATGGTCAAAGGATACAAAATTCATTTTGGAGGAATAAGTTCTAGAGGTCTGTTGGACAACATGGAGACTATAGTCAGTGACCATATATTCTTTTTTTTTGGAGACAGAGTCTTACTTTGTTGCCCAGGCTGGAGTGCAGTGGCATGATCTCAGCTCACTGCAACCTCTACTTCCTGGGTTCAAGTGATTCTTATGCCTCAGACTCCCGAGTAGCTGGGACTACATGCTGTGTGCACCACCATGCCCAGCTAATTTTTTTTTTTTTTTGTCTTTTTAGTAGAAACGGGGTTTTACCATGTTAGCCAGGGTGGTCTCAAACTCGTGGCCTCAAATGATCCACCTGCCTCAGCCTCCCAAAGTTCTGGGATTACAGGTGTGAGCCACCGTGCCTGGCCCATATACTATATTCTTGAAGAATGCTAAGAGAGTGACTGTTAAGTGTTCTTACTACAAAAATGGTAACTATGTGAGGTAATGCATATGTTAATTAGATTTAACCCTTCCACAATGTATATACACTTCAAAACATGTTATACATTGATAAATACATACAATTTTATCTGTCAGTTAAAAAATAAATGGAAGGTAGTCAACCTTAAAAGATTGCAGGCTTATAGCTACTCTAGTTCTGCTACTTTCTGGCTCTCCAGTTAGGGCAAGTTTTAAAATTTTTCTAAGCCTCCATTTTCCTCATCTATAAAGTGGAAATAACTAACATTGAATTCACAGAATTGTGAAGATTAAATGAAATGACTTCAATAAAACGCTTAGCAACAGTAGATTGTAGCTAGATGCTAGTGTTGGCTTCTACCCTAGGCAGGCTTTACTGTGTGTCACACAGGCCCTTCATCTGTGGTGTGGCCTTGTAGTTTGTGGGGGGAATAGTAAGGTTTTAAGTGTCCTTAGCTCATTCAGAAGCCGTGTGCCAGAGGAGCATACATGTATCTTGGCCTGAAGTGACAATTAACGATGGCCAGTGTTTGTGGAGGTACTATATGCCAGGTACTGTGCTGCGCAGCGCTTCTAATCTTCACCACAGCTTTGCCAGATAGAATTCTTAATGGAATATTTTCGATGAGGAAACTGAACTTTAATGGCAGTAGAGAGTTAAGGCTTTTAGGGTATATAAATAGCAGAGTTAGCAGAAATGTTAAAGCTATTCTAAATTAAGGATGCCAAACTTCCTTTGGTAAAAGGTCAGATAGTGCCTTTAAAACTGACCCATTGTTAAGTGTAAAGGCAAAATGAATTTGAGGAGCAAATGTGGCTATGTGCTGAGCTTATGTGATTTTGTAATATAATGAGACTTGGAGCTAACCAAGTTCAGCAAACGAAGTCTTTTTCAGAGTTGGTCAGGTGGTTAGCAAATAGTAGGTCTGAAACTCAAAGGAATGGCTGTGGCCAGACATGTTGGTTTGAGAGCCATTTGCGTGTTGCCTGGCAGTCTGTAAAAGCATCAAGTGCCATTTTGAAGGCCTTGGAGTAAGCCAGTCCAGGGCAACTTAGCCCAGATTCTGGAAGGATTTATGGCAGCAAATTTAGTACAAGGAAGGAAGAAGATGAAGAATATGTTGATGTTGACAAGATGACTATCTATATTCAATTGGCTCATAATGTAGAACTCCTACATTAATTTTATTCAGGCTGGGTATGGTGGCTCATGCCTGTAATTTCAGTACTTTGGAAAGCTGAGGTGGGAGGATCGCTTGAGCCCAGGAGTTTGAGACCAGCCTGGACAATATAGTGAGATCTCACCTCTAGAAAAAAACTAAAAAACTAGCCAAGCATGGTGGCACGCACCTGTAGTCCCAGCTACTTAGGAGGCTGAGGTGGGAGGATTGCTTGAGTCCAAGAGGCGGAGGTTGCCATGAGCTGAAGTCACGCCACTCTACTGCAGCCTTGGTGACAGAGTGAGACCCTGTCTCAAAAATAAATAAATAAATAAATAAATAAAAATTTATTCACCATGTTAAAGCTGTCATAACTGGATGCAGATTCTGTCTCAGTGACATTCGGGAAAAGGCATGAAGGATACATATACAGTCATGTGTTGCTTAATAATGGGGATGAGTTCTGAGAAATGCATCTTTAGGCAATGTTGTTGTGCGAATGTCATAGTACTTACACAGACCTAGATGTTACAGCCTACTATACATGTAGGCTATACAGTGTAGCCTATTACCCCTAGACTACAAACATGGACAGCATGTTACTGAATACTCTAGGCATTTGTAACACAATGGTAAGTATTGGTGCATCTGAACATATCTAAACATTAAAAAGGTACAGTAAAATCATGGTATGAAAGACAGTATACCGCTATATAGGGTGGCAACGTTAAACATGGATGGGAAATTTGCCAGAGACCTAGCAAGGTGGCTTGGGGGTGAGTCCAGTGAGTGGTGGAGTGAATGGGTGAAGGCCCTAAGCCCCTGTTATACTATAATTATGTTTTTTTTAATAAAACACTGTACGGCTTAGGCTCTACATTCAATTAAATATTAAAACGGATTTTTATCAGCCGGGCACAGTGGCTCATGCCTATAATCCCAGTCATTTGGGAGGTCTGAGGTAGGTGGATCCCTTGAGGTCAGGAATGTGAGACCAGCCTGGTCAACATGGTGAAACCCCATCTCTACTAGAAATACAAAAATTAGCCGAGCATAGTGGTATGCGCCTGTAGTCCCAGCTACTTAGTAGGCTAAGGCAGGAGAATCGCTTGAACCTGGGAGGCAGAGATTGTAATAAGCCAAGATCACGTCACTGCACTCCAGCCTGGGCGACAGCGAGACTCTTTCTCAATAAAATAAAATAAAATAAAATAGTTCTTTAATAATAAATTAGCTAGACAAAAAAAATTTCCATTTATATCCTTATTCTGTAAGCTGTTTTCCACCTTTAATTTTTTTTTTTTTTTTTACTTTTTAAGCTTTTTGTTAAAAACTAAAACACAGACACACACATTGGCCTAGGCCTATACAGAGTCAAGCTCATTAATCTCACTGTCTTCCACCTCCACATCTCATCCCACTGGAAGGTCTTTGGGGCAGTAATACGCATGGAGCTGTCATCTCCTATGACAACAGTGCCTCCTTCTGGAATACCTCCTGAAGGACCTGCCTGAGGCTGTTTTACAGTTAACTTTTTTTTTTAATAAGTAGGAGGGGTAACCTCTAAAATTACAATAAAAAGTATAGGATAGTAAATCATAAGCCAGTAACATTCATTGTCATCAAGTATGATGCATTGTACATGATTGTATGTGCTATACTTTTATATGATTGGCACTGCAATAGGCGTGTTTACAATAGCATCACCACAGACATTTGAGTAATGCGTTGTGATACACATTAGGCCATAGGAATTTTGTAGCTCTATTAATCTTCTGGCGCCACTGTTGCATATGCTTACTGTGTGTTTCACCACGCCTAGCTGTCCTTGACCGAAGTGTTATGTGGCGCTTGACTGTATAATCATAACCCAAGTATGTGAGGTGTGCTGTGAGAGCAGAATGG